CCCCGACACCTGCCCGAGGGCGGCGGGAGGGGACAACCCTGGAGCCCGCAGGGGGAGGGAGAGGGGCCCTCCCCAGAGCGGGAGCCAGGCTTGGTTCATTCTGAGGAAAATATTGGCATGTCCTGCCCTCAGTTAAAGCCAGACACACGTCACAGACTTGGGGAAAACAGAAAAGGAAGGAGGAATTTTTATCTATTACTGAGACCCAATTTCCGAAGCCAAACCTTGATTTCCAGAAGACTAAGCAGAGAAAGACAACACCAATTTCTCCTGCAGCACCCAAGATCATCCAGATCACAAGCTTACCACAGCACAAACAGCTAACCCTGCAAATTCCACCTGCGGGCTGCTACCGGGCAGAGACAAGGGGTGAAAGAAGGGGGACAGCACTTCCTCTCTATGAAAGCTTGCAAGCAGCAGTAAACTTTGTATAAAGTAGTAAACATAGCCATAATAAATAGAAAGTATACGGTAATAACCCTGTGACAGGTATAAACAAGACAGTTTCTATAAAGTGCAAGATGTTCCAATAAAAATAAATTTAATTTTACAATATATACATATAAAAATTTTTCCAAAGGAAACATTTTAAAATACTTTCTTTAAGGCACCTAAGGGGAAAGAAAAAAAGACAAGACAATAAGACAATATGCATTAAGATTTGGAACTTACCAAACAACTGTAACAATAAAAGAATTCGATCCTATCGTTTAAAGTACTTTTAGAGAGAACCAGACTGTCTTCCCTTCCCCTGCTTCCCTAAGTCCTTCTTCAGACTACTCTGTTGACTCATGAGCTGCCAGTAGGTTAAGAAAAAAAGTACAAAAACTAAGCTATGAATCTTTACAGCATTGCATTCCAAGTACAAGTATAAAAGTTCCAAAGATTAACTCAGGTATATTACTTAACGGACCATCAAATGTAAAAATAAAGGGGTTCTTCAGTTAACTACTGCGTAGAAGATTAGATGGCATTTCGTTCCACGAAGGGATCAAGAATATCAAAATGTTCCAGACATTAACACAGTTACCCTGCTTACGGTTCTTCTACATGTATAACTCACAGGTAGTTTCCCTGCAGTTCTTCTCCATGCATAAGGAACTCAAGCACTGTATCCTTTATTATTAAAATCACTTACCTGAAGAATTAAGCTACGTCCATTTCATCTTCATTTCTATAAGGAGGGCTAATCATGGGTTCTGTTATTTCATATGTTTCTACGATCTCCTGGTTAGAGATGACAAGAGTATGCAAGTTACAAGAGCTGAGCTATTTCAGTATAATTGCCATCACCACCATGTAAGAAATAAAGTTTCTCATACTAAAGCACTATTTCAAATTACTAAGTTTCTCCTGCACATTCTGAGCGAGGGCAAAGGAGAAGAGCTGTATGTGGTAAAACCTACTTCTTGTCTAAGATTTATTACAAACAGCAAACAGTGAGGAAATTGTACGGAGAACTTCCCCTCTAGAAGCAAATATCATCTGTAAGGGAAGAAACAGACTCCATATTTAAGCAGTCCTCATATAAAACAGTAAAGGCAAGTCACTGCACAATTTAAAAGCCCTTAAACTAACCAGGTTTTAAGGATCAGAGGTGAAACTGTCAACCCAATTCTCAGTTTTCTTGCAGTCAAAAGCATTCGTTAGATCTGTGATTGTTCTGGAATCCATAAAATTAAACGCAGTGGTAATATACACAGGAACATCTATCCTTACCAGAGTACATAACAGCACAGCTCTCAGATGCATTCTTACACTTAAGATAAAAAAATTAATCAAAAGTACCAAGTGCTATCCATTATACCTGCCATTCCTGATGGTTCAGAGATAGGACGACCTGGTTCCGTGCTCCAGCACTATAGTCATCCTTCTTTCCTTCATCGTCTTTCGAAGGCTCTGTTCAAAACATCGTATTTTCACAGTCTTGACACTTGTCAAGTCAGTTTCCTCCAGGAACACAAATGCTTCACAAAAAGCAAATCAATTACACAGGCTCCACTAAGGCAGTCTCTGTCAATAGCCTGTACCATATGCTGCTTAAGAAATTTCTTTAGTCCTACTTCCTAAAAATTTAGAAACTAATATTTTTCAGAGTCTCAGAAGGACCTAAATATTTAATCCTTTCTGAAATCCCACCAAAGTCTTAATCCCATTGATATCCTGAAGGAATAAAAGCCAAAGACCTCGACCATAGGATGGCCTTCCCCTTTCAACTGTTTTGAAGTTGCAGCACTTCCCAACTCAGGTAGACAAAGGAGAATTCTTGCACACAAAAACACCTTTGCTCAGCAAAGCATAACAATGTTCATATACCTATTAGCAAAAACACCACTTAAATGGAAAGGTAATAGCCTTTTACTTCTGTTAACAGAACTAATTTGTATAGAACAGCATAATAGCCTTTTTTCCATATTTTGAGATTTAAAGAGACTCAATCCTTTCTGTTCCTCTCAAATCTCTCCATGCCTTCAGTTAATTTCACTGCATATCCCCGAATCTCTGCTCTCACCACTAAAAACACACCTAAAACTCTGTGAACACCTAAGATGTAGCTACTTTACAGTGTCGTAACAAAAAACAATTATAGTCTTTCAAAGCCAGATTTTACCTATTATTGGCAATTTATCATCATCCAGCTTCAATCTTGCAAAACCATCCTAAAAAACAGTAGGATTTAAAGTTTCAGAAATTAGAACTAATTCGAATAATACACTAAGATTGCATATTTTTAATTAGTATATTACATAATCATAAACAGGTACATACACTGATACACAATCTTAATTGGCATACCAAATGAGGAAAATTATTTAAATATAGCATTTATTCATAAAGAATGCAGCTGATACAGGACATGGATCACATGGATCCACAGCTGTTGGATTACAAAAAAAATGTTTTATTAAAAATCATTATTATTCATTGAATATACTTGAGTTAACCCTTCATCATCACTTCACTATTCACTATAAACCTGAATTTAGCCAAAATATGTTTGTAAGTTTTTCTTTTTTCATTTCATTAGACAAAGTAAGTATATGTCAAAGTGTAAATCTATAGATTTGAAAAGAATATAAAACACTGCACTGACACACTTTCCTACAACCTCAATAACTTCTGTACGCTATGACTATTCTTCTATAATCTAAAATAAGGTGAGCTAGAATCCCTTTTTGAAAAGTGTATTGACAGCAAAAATTTCACTATTGTTTTGTTGGTAAATTGACTGTTGTAGAAAAGTCTAATTAAAAAATTAGTCTGATTGTAGAAAACAAATTAGGATTCCTAATATTTAAATCCTAGTCCATCAAAAACAAAGCCATAAAAACAACGAATCAATATTTTTAGATAATTCCAATATCTAAAATAAGACTTCAACAACATGTCATGACTTACCCTTATAATGAAGGACACATGAAAGATGTTTTCCACAGTGCGTGCAAAAGAGTTAGGATCAATCACAAGATCAAAGAAGGAAATAGGTGTATCAGCTAGAAATGCAAAAATGAGTTTGTTAAAAAAAGCAAAGAAAAAACCCCAGAGCTAATATATGTAAACAGAAACTTGCAAAAGTCAGACTCCTTTTAAGAGCTAAATGAATGTTTCTGTCAATTTAGTTACAACACTGCAGAAAGAAACAAAGTTTCTAGAGAACTTGATTTTCTTCCCTCTTGCCACACACACACATAACGGCAGCGTCTATTTGACTGCCTACTAAAAAAATGCCCTGCTCTAATAAGAGGGAGAGGGTAGGATTTAGATTATTCTGCACTTAAACAGCAACTGACAGGTGTTCATAAAAAGTACATAGTCAGTATATATCCTTCAACATCAAGATTTCTACTCACAAACTCCACCTAATTCTGTTTGTGTAATTTAACCACTCTTAACTGTAGGAGTATTTGTTTTCTCAAATTAATGCTTTAAAAGCTTAATTGAATCATACTTACGATCATTTTTAAAATGAGTTTGCAATAACCCCAAAATCCTCTCTACTTCTTTTTCTGTAGCTTCCTGATGAGACTCCTCCATTTTTTTCAACTGGAAAAAAGAAACATAGTTTCACCTCAAATCACCACTGTTGTAAGACAAGAATAGGAAAAGTGCCTTTTACGAACACCTAATACAAAAGAGAAGTTTTTCTCTCTATAACACACCTATGCAAACATGAGACAACTTACAAACTATGGCCTTTCAGTATGACATTGTACGACGGGAATTAATTTCTAAAGCACTTTGTATGTTTTGAGCCTATTTACAGGCCTACATTTACTTTCCAATAGTTCTGTGGAAATGGATTACCCCTAGCAGTACATAATCTGTGAGTTTACCGAAGAAGTTTATAAGTGTAGAAGGGCAGTTCATTAACATCTTTAACTTTTTTTCCAGAAAAGGCACCTAAGTTTACGTGTAAGAAACATCACGGCACGAAGTCTGATGTGGTCAAATGACACGACTTTTGTGGTTTTGCAGATCTGTTACATTATCTGCAAAGCAGGGTACTCCAAATCATCCTTCAAGTACTGTCACCAGCAGAGTACCAAATTCACTTCTCAAGTACAGCCTTCAGTAACCTGTCTGCTGGTCCTGTTAGCCACCATCTTCCCCTTGACCACCTTGCAAAAAAGCAAGCTACAGAAACTTTCAGTAGCAGCCACGTATCTAACACCAGTTAACGTGTATGCTGATCATCAGTTTACCTACGCAAACCACAAAGCACAGTCACCCACTTCTGGAAGCAACTCTCTCAAACCCTCCAGCTCCTCCTCTTCCCAGTACAAACTGTGTCAGAAAAATTTCTATCACGATTTGGACTGTTACAAAGTACGCTATATTTAAAAAGACGTACTCAACATTTTGCCTCTACGTACTGGCATTATCGGCCAGAGGTTCCCTGTAACATGGTTTATTTTTTCAAGCTTTCAGATGTAAGCCTCTCTAAGTACTCTCAGACTTTCGCCTTTCCGCCAGAGTCAGACAGAAAGAACAGGGAAACAGCAAGCAGGGAAAATAGTGCTTAAGTGAGCTAATTAGTCTGCTGTTCTTAACCACATTTCTGTGCAAATGCCACACACTGTTTTAAATAAAATGCTAAAAGCATGCTAACGTAAAGAAGTTTCTTTCTTGTTTCCTTTCAAAGCAACGAGCATAAGAGCAAATAAGCTAATTTGAACTTGAAAAAAAAAAAAGTCTGTAAATCCCATTTCTGAACTTGACATCAGTGTATAAATTGTATTTCCTTCCAGACAGTGAAATATTGCAAAACTAATCTAGAAGACTAATAATGAAGTCTGAATCCTTTAGTATGACACAATTCATAACTACAAAACCCAAAACAATGTGAATAGAATTATTTAAAAGTCACTTGTACCAGCTATGCCACAACAAATCATCAACAGAGACAACACCTCACAGACCTGAGCAGGCATTGCCCGTTTTGCTTCTCCTCCTGGAGCCTTTCTCTGTCTCTCAATCCGTTGCCTTGGTACAGGAGGATCAGACTTAAAAGATCCCAACCTAACCAAAACAAAAAGAACATATATATGGAAATATGTCTTACACTGTATGCTAAGAAGTCTATATACTGAGCAGTTGATCTCCTGATAACAGTGCAAATTAATGACTGATACCTAAAAATAAAGCCTCATCACATTTAGAGATTTCTGTAAACAACCATCCCCAAAAGTTGCTCCCAATATATGTGGGCAGCCTCATACCAGAATTATAAAGAGATGTATAAAGTTTGATGCAGTTACTCCAACATTTTTTTTTTAGCTGAAAACTTTAAATCTACTTTTCTTAAAACTAGTTAAGAAATGAAACAGAGTAAATGGTTCATATCCTCCAGCATCTCCACTGGAATTTATTACAAACTCTTCTGCCTGAAAACTCACTCCATACAATATTTATCTTTTTTATCTGTTGTCTTGTTCCAGTAAGGCAAGGTTTGTAGTAAGCTTTTTTTTTTTAAAAAAAAAAAATGCCACAAATTTTTAAAACTTAGTCAATCAACAGAACATCCAATACACTAGGAAGAGAAAAACTTCTCATAAACAATGTGAGTGTAATATGCGTGCTAGATTTAGGCACTTTCTTGAAGTGCTTACCTCTCTCCAATGACTATATAAGGAACTTAGGCTCCTAACTTTGGTTGCCTTGAATCTCCACCAAGTTAGATGCCTAAAGGAGAGTCCCTATCTTGGGTGAGCTGAGACTGCTCGATTTCAGAAGTCACAGACTGATCATGAAAAAAACACCCTCAGGCCTCAAATAAGAACATACGGAATTAGAAATAAGTAGTTCTTTTCCTAAACTGAGAACTACACTTTATTATTCAAAATTAGCACTTTGCGAATATTCACACATCCTCCATGAAAAGGCCATTGTTACTCAAGATGTCAAAATGCAACTAATGAGAAAAAAATTCTTTCTTGCAGCCAGTTTTGCCTTAAGATCATAGCAATGATTGGAAAATATACTTATGTTTTTACTTTCAAGCTGTAAGACCTAAACGATAAATTCAAAATATCTCAATTAGCAATCCAACAGTAAATATCCGATATTGTATGATCAAATTATTTATTCATCAACTTACTGGGAGGGAACAAGTGCAAAATCATAGACAACTGAATAATACTCTGTCAGCTCTACTGATGATAATTCAGTTGAACTAGATCCTGATATTGTAGGCTGACTTTGAGAGATTTAAATTGAAGCACTGTCTATAAGCAAGGTCACTAAGGGTCATTTGACAGCAGCTAAAAAGACTCCTACTAAATGGGTTGACTACACGTAAGGAGAGATGACGCTGGTTCTACTTAAGGCCACTTGCCAGTAATCAGGTGATTTCTTCTGAAGGCACAGCCAGAAAGCAAGATTGTAAAAGACAACCCATTAACACAGACGTACAAGAAGAACTGTTGGGCTCTTCACGATAATACAATCGTCAGGTAAAGGATACAGGCCCTGGCAACTGACCTTCCATAACTGTCTGGGAAAGAAAAATAAAAATTCCTCTATTCATGACTCTGGCTGCAGCTTATACAGGGAGAGAAATATGAAGGAAGAGTCGGCTTTTAAGGAAAAGAGGATCACTTCTACTGGTTTTGGTCTGAAACAGGTATATGAAGAAGCTATTTCTACTAGATACAAGTGATACTACTTTGCAGCCAAGCCAAATCAAAGAGAAAAATATTGCGAAACATTTTGGAGACAAGGAGTTCGCTGTACCGTAAGAACAGAGACCACACAGAAGTTCTTGTTGACACTCCGTGACCTGAGTTACTCTATTCAAGCCGTGGGCATTAAAGAAAAGAATTAAGGCCACTAGCTTGGGCTGCAGTATATACTATTTTCTTAAATCAACTTACATATAGTGAAAAGAAGGCGCTCTTCTGAAATACTTTTCTGTTTCTTCTCCCAGTTTATGCCAGGCATTACTAGGTAAATAGCCACCCGAAATGCTTTCAGAATCACTATCATTTTCTTCTACTTCCACGCGATTTATACCCATGAAGGTCAGCTACAAAAGAAAAAAAGCTGCAATGAAAATTCACTTGGAGAAAGATCAGTAGATACATTAATGGTAAAATACCGTATTATGGTGTTTGTCCTGCTAAATATTTAATATCACTGCATAAGAACCTTGACTTTCCTGGAGACACCATGAAAACCAAAACACACTCACATACAGACTTCTGCTCAGCAAGCATCATCAAGCAATGAAAAAAAAAAAGCGCTACAGGTAAATAAAACTGCCTGTAGTCCAACAGAATTTCAGTGATGTATGAAGCAGCAAAGCATTACTTGCACTACAAAGCTAAGATGTCTCACAGTTTCCAAATACTGCACACTTCCAGGAAGCCTAGCTCCTCAAATACCATAAAACAACTTCCTTGGCCCAACCTTGCATCCACCAATTCAGACTTCCCCAGGAAAAACTTCAATAAAACAACTGAACTTGATGGTGGTTTATGTTACAGAGCTCTAGCCTTGACCGAAGACTCAGAATCCTTATTAATCTATCGTAACGTAAGAGAAAATTTTCAGAGGGAAAAAGTAGTCTGCCTCAAAGCTGTTCTGAACTGACTCTTCCACCCAGACACAGTACAAAGAGACAAATATCAAAGATGTGAAGTCTCCAGACACGCAAGTAATTCTAAGTCCCATTTCATGTCAGTGACCCAGGGCCTTGAGAACTCCATCCAGAAACATAAAGCAGTGGACAGGATAAAGAAACTACTTAGCTACCGGGAAACTACAGAACAGTGAGTACAAACCAAGTGCGCAAGACTAAGAGCACAAAGTGACTGAACTGTGATAAAGCAGCAGCAATGCAACAATGACGGGGGACGCCTGCATTTTAGGTTAAGATTTTCCCCTATGCATAGCCGAAATGCTCAATATATAGTTTAAAACAATTAACAACAATAGCCTGAAAATTAATCAAAGAAGTTCATAAGAAGGGTGTTAAATTCCATCAGAACTGTCATGTACTGCCTGACAATCTGAGGTTTTTATTTAATGATTCTGTAACAAATAAGGCAAACCTCTAGCAAAACTGTTGGCAAATTCAGAGCTTAGAACTTACCAAGTCTTCTGCAAATGCTAGTGAATCAAATGCTGTCATCTCAGAGTGCAACTCATTGGCCTTCTCCTTTCCTAGATTTGATGCTAAGACAAGAAATTGGGCATCCATCGCAGCCTCTCGTGCACAAGACACTGTTACAGAGAAAATTTTGTATTAATAATAAGAACTTGTCAAACATATAATAATAAAATTTAGCACACAGACCATCCTGGGTAAAGAGCTTTCTAAATATTTTTACTGCAATGCCCTCTAACACAATTACTTACATAATGCTTACAATAATACTTGCATTTAAAAAAGAGGAAGTAAAAGAGGATGACATTGACAAAGGCAAGCATGGAAAAATAACACATTATCTTAAAGAATAAACATGTTTTACATCTCTGCAGGTGAAATGAACCCCTCTACACTAGTATCTTTTATGTGTACTACTTACAGTGTTCTACAGAGTACAGATAAAGCAAGGAGTACTTCTAAGTGCAAATAAACACTAATGATATCTATTTTTTCATATCAACTTCTTCAAACAATTCCTCTTCAATTAAACATATCTATTGAAGCCATACTTTAATAATTCCAGTAAAGCACTTGAAGGTCAACTTCATTCTCTTGCCCTTTTTTGTTTGTAAGTCATCACCACCTCTCACTTGGCCAAGTGTCAAGCAAACACCTCTAATAAGGACCACGGAATTTGTTTTACCTCCACTAAACAGCTTATTGGCTTCTTCCAAAGCTTCTGTCAGTCTGTTGCTTTTTGAACTCAGCATATCCTCACGATTTTCTGGGGTGGGACACAAATGAAATTCTACATTACTTAAATATAGAAGCATCAAGAAATACATACTTACACCTTAAAATTTGCTGCTTCACAGCCCATCATACACACAAAAAACCAGAACACAGTTATAGTACATTAAATGTGAGATTATGTAGGCTCCATTTTTATTAATGTTTATGCATTAACACAGTTTGAAGTAGTAAATTTCCATTTACTTCCAGGGAATAAGATTTATGCGGTTGAATTTATGTTAGCAGATCCCAGATTCTCCTTGGTTCCAGTAAAATATCTGTATCTGTGTTAAAGCAGCTATCAGATAGCATAGTTTGCTGTATGTTATTTGTCTTATCCATAAGTCATTAAGGATTTTCATGAAAGAAACACACCAACCCCCAAAAGCGCATGCTTGGTGATTTCCAAAGATCATCGTGTCAAACACAGTTACTTAGATGTAACGGTACACACGTGCTTTCACAGGCTTTCAGGTGCTCAATTCTGAACAGCTACTCACAGCACTGCTTTTAAGGACCTCCACCATACCTCGTGCACTGACGTACCACTGTTGTTTTTCTGCATAAACACCGACCAGATCATCCATAAACCATGCTGTATTCTCTTGTAAAATGACCCCACCAATTTGGCAGGTATGCAGAAAACAACTAACACCACACGTTGCTAAATTTGGCAGTGCTTAACCAACCATCGTTATGATCTCATGAGCAAAACAGGACACTCCAAACACACACGGCAGCAGCACGGACACGCCAACCTGGACAGACGCTAGAAGGCCCACAGTACTTTCTGGAAAGCCTAAGAATAACCTTCTGGTCCAGGCAGATACCAGCACCGGCGGTTTCAAATGAAGGCTCAAGCACCACGAATGCAAAATTAAAGACTTTCAGTCTGCCTTCAGGTGTAAAGCTGATACTTCCCCTGCATCAATGCAGTCATGCACATTATGTGCCAGTAAATCCCTCGCAGAACCACAGAACACTTTGGGTTGGAAGGGACCTTTGAAGGCCATCTAGTCCAAGCCCCCTGCAGTGAGCAGGGACAGCTTCAGCTGGATCAGGCTGCTGAGAGCCCCGTCCAACCTGGCCTGGAATGTTCCCAGGGATGGGGCATCGACCACCTCTCTGGGCAGCCTGTGTCAGGGTCTCACCACCCTCATGGTAAAAAATGTCTTCCTTCTACCCAGTCTGAATCTCCCCTCTTAGCTCAAAACCATCATCCCTTGTGCTATCGCCGTGGGCCCTGCCAAACAGCTTGTCCCCACATAAAGCCCCAGCCTGTCCTCACAACCTTCCCGTCCCTGGGCAGGCAAACCCATGGAGCCAAACCCCGGCCTAACGACAGGCCCCAAACTCCCGCAGGCCAAGGAACCCGCGAACTCGAAGGGCTCCCCAGGCACCGAGCCCAGGCTG